TCAGATACGACTGAGTGACTAAACAACAAATCTAAGTAAGTCTTCTGGCCCTTATAAAATGGTCTGGCCCTTTTGCTACTAATTCAGGGCTTTCTAAGGATGATGAGAAACCTACCCAAGTGGGAAGACCCAAATGGCACTGAAGTAACACAAGTGGTCGCAGTAAGAATCTACAAAGTAATGAAGATATAAGAAAGAGAAAGCTATTCACTTTCCAACCCTTCTATGTCCCTGATAGCTTCATGTTTCCACGTGGCTAAAATGTTATGCTCTGCCTTATGGTATATTTGAACCCAGATCTTTGTATGAGAAAAGATTCCTGGTGGGGCTCATCTCCGGACCTTGGGGCAGGGACTTGGGACTTCACACTCAAAGAACTCACACACAGACTGGGATTTTCTCCCAATGAGACTATGCTCCCTCTCATAGGTCCACAGAGGACTGGAAGCTGTCCATCATTCAACCCAAAGTTTACAAATGTACACATTTACAACTCTTTGATATTTCTTTACTTTTTAAATGCATTGGGAGCCTCAAATAATGGAAGTGGCCAGGCTCCCTCTCAACCCTGAAGAGGCCCATGTGTGTTGCTGTGTGTCCTTTTATGTGTATTTGTCCTCCAGTGCACATTTTCATAACTGGATTGGATGTAACATGTTCAATTAATTAAGGAATACATTTTTATTACTAGCACCACTATTGGTTACATCTTGATCTCCATAAGGAACTGGCTGACTGGGGAGATCAGCGTGCACTGGCTCATGACTGGAGGGGAAGAAAGATGTTGTGCAGTCAAGACATCTGCTTTGCAGGTTTGTGCTTTGTTTATCATAAAACGGGTGATAATGATAAGGATGTGTAAGAAGCACGGTGTTAATGATAGTGCCAGTGGAGAGTGTGAACAAAAGCCATGACTTTGCGCAAGAACTGGATATAAATTAAACCCCAGATTGGTTCAGACTATAGATTTTATAGTTACACATTTATGGCTATTAGAAAGACTATTAGAAAGACCTTTGCTGCTGAAATTCCTGCAAAAAATAATTTTATCACTTCAAGTATGAAACTCCCTAGTCACTGATCCCAACTTTTCCCATGGAAGCAATTGTTTTAGAATATTGTTTTGGCTGACTTGGCCATTTTATTACAGAACAATATGTTTATTATGTAAGACATGCAGTTTATATCCATGCATTTATTAACACATGGGAGGATATCGATCACTTGTGGCTCAGGAGGTCTTTGCCTATAATCTGAATATAAACAGTTTAATTTCAATTACTGAGCCCAGGTTGGATGCATGAGACAAGTGCTCGGGCCTGGTGCACTGGGAAGACCCAGAGGGATCGGGTGGAGAGGGAGGTGGGAGGGGGGACCGGGATGGGGAATACATGTAAATCCATGGCTAATTCATTTCAATGTATGACAAAAACCACTGCAATGTTGTAAAGTAATTAGCCTCCAACTAATAAAAATAAATGGGAAAAAAAAAAGATGAAAAAAAATAAAAAAATAAAAATTCCCAGTGGGGGGGAAAATAATAATAATAATTTCAATTACTGCCTATTTATTTTTATGTGTACTTTCAATTTAAGGCAAATTTCCCTAATTTGCATTGATGGTAGTAACGCACAGCTTCCTTTTAAGTATTAGCTAAAAAGTGAGGCAATGTGTAGAAAAACATCAGATAAATAAAAATACAGTGGTCTGCTTGGGATAATGGAAAAATCATGGAGATGCTCTGCAAATGACCCAAGTCTTGGAAACCATGGGCTATGTAATAATAAGGAAGATGTACGTTTGGGGTTGGGCTTCTGATAGCGATGATGGCCATACAGTCATCCTGGAGACCAGTGCCAGAGTGTAAAGCTGCTGCCTGGGGCCCCAAGAGTGTGCTTTTCCACGTGACACTAATTGGCCCACACAGGAGTGAAACCATGACCCTTCCCTCATTAACCACATGCTCAGACCAGCTGAGCTAGCTCCCTCTGGGTCACTGGGGTCGCATGTAGGAAATTACCATTCCAGTGCCCTGTGGTTCTCTTGTAACCCCAACTAATGAATGTCCCATGGAGCCCAATGTCATTCCTGGGGGAACACAACACTCTCCCAGCGGTGAAGAAGTTGATGATATGCTCAAGTTTTAATCTAGGGAGAAACAACTGAGGAGGTGCTGAGAACTCAGGAAGCCTGGGAACAATCTTTCAAGGTCTGTGTGCTAGGAAAAAAAGGATGACAGCATTGTGCTGCGTCCACTTGTTTGCCTGGTCTCAGGACGAGAAACACAAGCACAGGGAAGTGAACAAAGCAGCTAAGCGTCACACAGCAAGCTTATCATAGCATAAATGACACTAAATCTTGCCGTCTGGGCTGAGCACTTTGTCACCAACCCTATAAGATAGGTGGTATTATCCCTATTTTAGAGATGAGGAAACTGAGGTTTAAAAACCACTGGTGAGCATCTAAGATAAGGGCTCCTTCTAGGATTGTCATATTCTGGAAACTTAACACATCATCTAGTTGAAGGGGAATTTTCCAAGACAGCTTGCCAATCTTTCTAGGAATACTATAGGCCTTCAGCTAATCCTTTTCTCCTGCTTTAGCACATCCAGAGTTTAGCACTGAGAAAAGTTTTGGTTTTTTTTCTTTTTTTTAAATAAGATGAATAAGTCAAGACCTACAGAAAGCATTCTTAGCAGGTTTTGGAGAACACTGGAAAGAAAGGGGTGGTAGGCTTTCTACATGCGTTCTGAGGACTTGGGAAAGATCACTAGCTTCCCCACCTGCTTTTTAACAAGGTTGATAAAAACCTTTGGCACTTCCAGAGCCATACCAACTGGTGGGTGAAACGAAATACCACATGGTCCTCATTTGGCAGCCACTCTTACCATAGCTGCACCACTACCCTGGGGGTGCCCACCGCCACAGTCTGTTCTGCGAGCCACGAAGCCCCACGGACATGTCCACTTTCAGCCAAAGAACTGGGCAAAAGGAACTAGACATGTGAAAAACCAAAAGCTCTAGTTTAAATCAGCTCTCTGGTTTCTGATTAATCTAAGGGAATTAACTCCACTTGTCCTCAAAGCTTCCTATTCAATGCCGGAGAAATTTGATATGTTTAAGGTACAACTGGCTTAAGCAACAAACTTAAGAAAGAGTCAGAGAGACAGATCCCAAATTTGCCATTTATTACCAGGGGAGATGTTGGTAACTTATTTAATCTGTTCCAGTTCCCTCACACACATATTGGGGATAAAATCTCCCCATTGCTGTGGTTTTTTCTGAACAAGGTAACGTAATAGGTTTGGCACTTGTATATTCCTCTTCACCATAGGCTGCTGGGAAATTATTCCTTGATGGAGAGAGAACATGGTCTTTTGAAGGCCCTGATGTGAAGTGCTGGGAGATTTACCAGCACTTCCCACCTATTTCTCCTGCTCCCAGTGCACAGCCTAAAACACCACACTTTTCCGTGTCTATTAGAAATTTTCCTTGCTTGCAGACTTGGTCTGGAGGTTTTATTATGGTTGTGGAATCACAAGAGAAATGCAACCTCTCTCATAAAGGAGCATCAGGCATTAACACTGGGAGAAAGCGAATTGTTTCCAAAAGCGAGACAGCAGCTGAGAAATAGGGGAATCAAGTCAGTTTTCCTGAAGTAATCTCCCGCCAGCAGGCGGGAAGGGGCCAGGTGGAGTTGACAGCAGTCTGAGAAGAAATGAGGAACTCCACCACGTGAGAATAGCAACAGACTCCCTAAAATAGTGGACACTCTGCCGTTTCTCCGTTCCTTAGGCACTTTCACTGGCTGATGGCTGCCGTCAGGCTTCCCTAGCTTCACATTATGGAAACTCAGCAGTGGTAAGAGACGGTTGTATTGCCACTTGGGTTGATTACAGTTTGCTTTTCCTTGATTATCTCGGTTCAGACTGGTGAATGTTTAACAGTAAATGGTAGAGTAACTGGAGATCCGGAGCCTCAGGTCCTTCTATGAGTCTTCACTTCAGCAGTTCTCTTTAAGCTACTGCCATCTAGTGGTAGCTTAGCAGACTGACATACCCTTCACTCCTGTCCAAGGAGAAAACGGTGCTGGACAAAGCACTTGTTTCTCTTTGCCACTGCCATCCAGAAAGCAAGAGGAGAGTAGCAGATGATAAATCTCATTCCACTGGCCTCCACTCCCTGCCAGTATTTAACCACCACTGTGCATTTTGTAGGTCAAGCTAGCAGACTCTTCTGACTTTATTTTGATTAATGAGGACATTTTTATTTAATCACAAGTCTTTGAGATGTAAAACAAACAAGCAAGTGCCAGAACTGGAGCTTGTGGGTCTTGCTTCTCTTTTCTCCACTGTGATGGCTACAAACTTCCTGTATGTCAACTGTGCCCAACTTAACGGATCCTTTGAAAGCAGGGAATTGGGTCTTGACAGTTACCTTGAGGTTCCCCCCTCTAAGAATCAATGTCATTTTTGTTTGTCCATCTTATTCAGGTGACTCAGGGCTAGAAGCACACAGAGGATGTCAAGTAATCAATGTGGCAAATCTCTGGGCAGATCAACTTTCTGTATGTGCACAGAGGAGCCGGTGGCAAATTCAGATATTCCTGGAAGTGTGTCAATCAGTGAGATGTGGTAAAATCCTCCACGGGGAGCTGAGTCAATGGTGATCTCAGCAGGTCGTGAAGAGAGTGGATTAACACCAGTGAGCTATTAGGTAGGATAAATTCACAGGGCAATGACCATTGCTTGGGGCTTAGAGAAGAGAATTCACAAACGTGGGCCAAGTTCCTTTTCTAAGTGTGAACTTCAAATAAACTTGGAGGATAATGATCTAGATATGCGTACTTTACTAAAGAAAAGGCACAAGGTTACAACAATGAGACTGCAGAAGGCTTGTGTTGTGTTAACTTTCTAGATGGGTGTCTTCATGGGTAACAGGCTCCCCTGCCACCTCCTCTCCACCCATCCCTCCTCAATTAGCAGAGACAAAGCAGCCAGTTTATTAAGATAATCATATTTATTACAGTCTCCAGACTCCCATATGACAAATACCGAAAGCAGAACATTGCAAACTGACATTACTAGCAGCAACCCTTCATACACAGGAAGGGTTTAGGTGAATTTAACAATGAGGAGTAATTTCAAGACAAGATTAAAAGTCATGGTTTTTCTTGTAGCAGCTGGTATATGAAGAGTGAAACTATTAATACACAGAGTCATCCAGGTTTAGCCTTGTCTAAAAAACAAGGTAATAAGTCATGGTGTGGAGGGGTTTCCCCAGGGCTGCCAAATAAGAGGCTAATGCCTTTAGATGTCAGGTTGGAATAAGCAAATCACTTTTCAAGACATCGCTTACTATCTGCTTTACTGTCAGGACAACAGAAAAAGAACTGGACAGCTGCCCTAGAGCTTAGCTCACACATAATTCAGCCAGTCATTGTTTCAGTAACACCCCTAAATTTTTGTTAAAGAACATTTTCCCCCCACAGCTCTAAAAACATAACATCAGACATTTGCTCCAAAGGATTAAAAATCAAAAGCAATTGCAATGTACTGGGAATAGCTTTTATAGCTTTCCTGTGGGACAGTTCCTATCTCTTCAGAGAATGTTTCTAAAGAAGCACTAGCTCTGGTAGCTTATCAAACTACTTTTTATTCTAAATAAATAAAAGACCAACTGAAGGTCTCAGGTGTACTTCTTTTTTCCCCTCCTAGATCTCCAAACCATCCAAAGCCATGTCTTGACAGACAGCTTTCATTTTTATTAGAGGAGTGCAAGAGAACTTACAAACATTTGAAACACACTCAAAACACCATGAGTAAAGGAGGCCCACCCTTTCCTCAAAGCCCAGGAAACGATGAAGGAACCCCAAAGGCTTATCTTAAATCCATCAACTCAATTTGCCGGGAAGTAATGACAGACCACCCACCTTTGCAACACAGGCCTCAATGAGATTTTCTTTCTTCACAAACACTAAGAAAAGCCTTCTGGGAGTTGCTACCCAGAAACACACAAGCTGATGAACAGAAGCTACTGAAAAGGGGTCGACTGCATTCTATATCTGGCATAGGAAAAGTAAAATTCAAACAACTGCAAACCATTCTGTTTATACCATGACACTCTTAGATGAATCTTGGTCTTCCCACAGCAACCATTTCATTCATAAAAATATATAAAGGATTAGAAAGCTTTGGGGCAGCACCAGTGACAGCTAGCTGTCTTTGAATAATTTAAATTTGTTCCTAAAGGCAAAAATAGGAGAAAATTTAAAAAACTAATTTACAGAACAGATTCTATTTCATGATTTTGCCCATGTCTGCTGCTATGAAAATAGTACAAACAGAAATACAAATATCCATTCTGCATCGTTAGGTTCCTTCTCAAGGGGTACAAGCAGTACACCTAAGTTTGTATAAGGCTTCTGAGGCTGGGGCTGATACTCTCTAAAGGTACTCCTGGACCTTTTCACCATGAGGATAGGTAAAGCCCTTCTTCATTCACTAACGACTCTAGCAAGGACTCCTATGCATCTTGACTTTAATGATAACAGCTTCTAGGTTTTCTGACTTGACATGCACCATGCAGAAGGAGGAATCAACTGGTCTAAGGCCACCTGCCACTGACAACTCTAGCTAACCATCTCACAAACAGCCCACCTCTATCATAACTGGTCTCTGAAAGAAAGCAGAAATACTTCCTAAATACCAGCACAAACAACCTAAAGTGCAGCCTCTCCTAGTGGTGAAGCAGTAGAACCAACTCTGTGTACAAATAATGGCCCATGAAATCGTCCTGGGGGTGAAGCCACACCTTCCATCTCTCAGTCCCGTGTTACTTTCTAACAAACTTGGATACCCCTGAGAAGACCTCAACAAGTTCATAGGTCTGCCCTGAAAACAGGAACCCTTCTCTAGAGATTACTCTGAAGAACTTCAGTTCAATGTTAAAAAAAATAAGAACTAGAGACTCAATCTCAAATCCCTGGAGAATACCAGAAGCCAGTTGTGGTGTATATCAGCTGTTTAGGGCCCCCTTGGTGAGCTGATGGGGGGCCTCCAGAAATCTACCGTTCTGGTTGTTACTTCCCCTTTTTCTTTCCTTGCCTTCTCCTGAGGAAGACTTCAGTTATTTCCATAGCAATTTGTTAAAAATGTCCTAGATGATCACATTTTTGAGCAGCATACACATTTTTAGAATATATTTTTCCTTCGTTTTGAAAAATTTCTCCAATAATAAAGAAAAGGCAATAATTTTTAAAATTTACTTCTCTAAAATAATGATTATCATGTTTTGTACAAAACATCACATTTACTAGACAGTACTCATCCCAGAATCACTGTCCAAACCAATAAATGGGGGGGTGGGTATGGGCACGCAAGACAGATTGCACACAGGTTTAAAATAATTTTTAGAGCCATAATTGTTGGGCAGAAAAGCAGTAAATCAATCGTTATGTGGATACATGAAAATCATATGCAAACAAGGAAATAGGCATGTGTTTAAAATAAGGTTAGATTTAATCAGGCACTACAATCAATGGACACTGATTAATTTCTCCTTTATTGCGAACATCTAGTAACTATTACAGCTTCCAGCTGAGGGACATAACAGACAGACAGATGGGGACAGTCAAACAGGGGAGACCGGTAAAGGTGGGGTACCTGACGATTAACAAGATGACTGATTTTAGAACATACTACTTAAAAAGATTCAGACTGGCAGTGTCCAAAGATAAGTGTTCACTTGCATGTGTAAACTAGAACCTTTCTAAATGTTTAGTGCATCTCATCTGGTTCTAAAGAGTATATTTAAAACCCACTTTGAAACAAAATCAAATAAAACAACTTCCACAGATTCCCTTTCAAGGATGTGCTATTTTTAGATTCACATCCTTCCTTCAGTGCTGGCATATAAACCCCCCAAAAAGTGCAGGGGAATTCCCTCTCATCACAACCAGAAAAGAGTGGGGGCTGGGATGTGGGAGAGCAGCAAAAAAATTGTTACTTTTCTTTCACTAAAGATATTCTTCTGAGAACTTCCATTGTCCCTTAGGAGAAAGGAATGGAACATGGAAAGTAGTTCCTGAAGATGTCACTGCCTTCTGATGACAAGAAGATCATAACTGTTAACACCTACAGAGATTATGTTCTTATATTATATAGCACCTACTCTGCTCATGAGACAGTGAACTTCTAGCAAGCAATGAAACAGTGAGTAAAGATTACTCATGGCACTTACATATGCTAAAAGACTGTAAAACGCCTTCCCCAGAGTCTTTTCCTCAGTACCCCTGTGAGGTAGGTGTCTGGTGGGAAAAACCTGAGGCACAGAGGGGTTACTCTGCTCTCCTCTCACTCCATGAAGAGCCAGAGGCCCAGCCAGATGAAGGCCCAGGAGTCCCAGCCCAACTCTCTGAGCGTGACTCACCTGCTTCTCAGAAGGCTCATTTAAGTTACACAACAAATACAGCAGAAGAAGTTTTTCTTTTCAAACATTTTAACTAGTGAGCTATTTCTCATTCTCACTTTGAATGTAAGATATCTAAAATACAACCTAACATAAACTAACAAAACAAAAGGTCAATAAACTAACAAAACAAAAGGTCAATATTGCCTAACAGTCTGTGTCGAGATATAGTCTACTTTGCACTGGTGATTGAAAAAGCATATAATTCAAGTAGAAATAGTAGCAGGTGGTCTGGTGTTCGGTTACTCAAGCCGGGCTGAGTAACGTGTCCCTTAGAGACACCGCTGTTGTACTTTGTGAGAACCTCTTTGGCCTGACACAAGGGAATAAAACTCCACCCCGGTTTCATGGAAAACCATCCTGAAAGACACTCAGGACAGGGCCAGCCCTGCCCAGAAAGGGTACTCTCAGCCACATGATGTGTGTGTATGCTTGAGTTCATGCAGAACTCTTTGCAGCCAGTCATGAAAGTCACAGCCTCCTGCTATAAAGCTCAAAGGACAGGTCACACTATACACAGAGGAGCAATACGCAGGTACATGCACTAGCACCATGCCACAAAAGTGAAAGAAGAGAAGGACAAGAGCATCCTACAGTCCCAACTGGTACACCATCTGCAGAAACTCCCTCTGGCAAGAGGAAAACCAACAACAAGGTCCCCTATTTCTTCCCATAACATGGAGCGGGATGAAGACACATCATTCATTGGAGCATGCCACCCACCCAGATTTCACTCTTACATAAATGCGTAGCCTTCTTATATCTTACAGATATTAAGAGATAGCAAAGTACATTCCTCGATCAAGAAAGAAACTTAAAGGTTAGTTACAAGGTGCGGATGCAGGGCTCGGGGTGATTTATACTGCTACTCTTAGATACAAGTTCATGAGTACTCAGGGCACTAGCTTCTAGAAATGAGATCATTCTTCCTGCGGAGGCTTTCTCCTTCCCATGCTATAGTGTCTGTGAAGTTAATTCAGTTCATACCATGCTCCCCAATTCAAGATCTTATATTTGGTTTGAGTGTATGCAGTAGACCATAATACCAAATCAGATGCATATACCATGCTCTGTACAGCTTTTGCTGTGATATTAATGCAAACACCCACCACCCTCTCAAGCCCTGTTTTCCCTTTAGGACCTCATCTCCCAGAGGGCCCGAGCCTGGCTCTATGCTCTGCACATGCTGGACCAGAGGGATCACTCCAACTCAGAGTTACACTGGGATACTAGGATACAGCATAGCAGCAATTCATGCATTGTATTTCTAAAACCAAAGCTCAAGTGAGGCTGAGCCAGTCACTGTGCAAGATGAACCAGCAGGACGTTCTCGCCTCGAATGAAAATCTGATTTATATGTCGAGTGAAAACCTGCTGGTAATCCACTTTGGGCTTTCTCTTTTTCTTACGGGACTGGCCCCTGGAAAGGGTGGTAGCCCTGGAAAAGGTACCCCCCGCACTGGACCCTTCTGTCCGTGTAGTCCTCCCTGACAGCTCTGACCTGGACTCTTCCCTTGCAGACGCCTGCAGGGAAGAAGGGACGGAGCGGGAACGCCTGCGTGAACTCCGGTCGGTGTCTCCTCTTCCCCACACCGAGGCCACCTTCCATGTGGATGTCTGGGAGTATCTGGAGAGAGTGGAGTCTTCAACTGCAGACTTAGAATCTGTTTCCTTCTTGGAAGAATCTTGCAGTTTTAGTCGATCAAAGAGCTGCAAGGAAAGCAATGACAAGTATTAGCCTTCTCTTCAGTTTTCAACATCTCTTTTTTTCGATATACAAAAGAAAGACTAGATTCCTTAATCATGCTCTGTAGACTGTTTGCTTTGCAATTTTAAAAAAGTTAGTAACAAATTTTCTATTTCTAGCCATAACTCAGATAAATCAGTAAGTATGTCAAGAGAAAAGGTACCCACTTTTTCTATGGTATAAAACTGAAAGACATTCAGACCTGATGAGGTAATTTGTTGCTCAAACAATATGCGAGTAAGAAATATAGACTCATTTTTTGCTCACTGGATCCATGAGAACAGACTAATGAGGATCTTGGTCCAAGCATGCCTGGTTGACAGCAACAGGGCTTTACTGCTGGGAAACCCTGATCCCTAGGCTCAATGATCTTAATTCCTTAGCTTGAGAACACACTGGGTACTCAAAGTCAGGGGAAACTGCTTACCCTGGTGAGAGTCAATGAAGAATCCCGTTCATATGCTTTGCCTAGAACAGGTTTTCGGTAGGTCTCATCCACATCAGTAAGTGCCTAGAGAAAAAGAGACCAAAGGAAGGAAAAATATGGTATCATTCAAAATATTATTTTTATAGCTTTCAGGAAAAAATTTAAAAGGCAGAATACCATCTAATTATACCAGACTAAACAGGTGACTCAGCTCTTGGGCAGGAACAAATGGTAATACATGGTCCCCTCTGAATAGGAACACCAAGCTGTTACGACCATGTAAGATGGGGTTCTCTTATGGTAAGGGTCCATCACAAACTCAGGGTAGAGGCTCTTAAATTTCAGGGAGCATGAATAATCTAGGAAGCTTATTAACACATTACTGACCAGAGATGTATTAACACCACAGGCATTAATTTCTGAAAAAATCTTCCTGTCAATAATGTGACAAAATATAAATCTAAGGCTATTCTCCAAGATAGTCTGATTCTGTACACCTGGGAACTTTCTGTTTTAACCAGAAACCCCATGATTTTGATGCAGGACAGCCTCAGACCACACCTTAAGAAACACTACTCCCAATTTTCCCTTTTCAGTCTCTCTGCCTTATGACAGCAATGAAGCGACTAACCAAGGTAATACACAGAAATGCTGGTGAATTCTTATTGATGAAAGATCAACCTTAGAGGACAGCCATTAGAATCAAATGAGATCATGTATGAGAAATTACTTTGAAAAGTGTGAATCATCTTACAAACATAAGTTGACAGTATTGTTATTGCCACCACTGTCAAATATATTCTCTTAAATCTTTCCCTTCAAAGGCAAACTTACAATAATAAAACATTTTCCCCCCTACATTTTAGAAATGAGAAAACTGAGGCTCAGAGAAATTACTTTGCCTAGAGTTACACAACTACCAAATGTTAAGCTAGGATTTGAATCCAAGTTTTATGACTCCATACAGTTTAAAACAGAGTCTCAGAAGCCAGAACAGATAAAGTTACAGTCCCTTTCACTTACTAAGAGTGTGATTTGGGACCAACCTTCCAAAATCACTAGCCTCAGTTATTTCATTTGTGAAATAGAACAGTGACAGACTTACAACTCATTTACTGAGTTATTATATATAAAGTTCTTTGTACAGGATCTGGCATATCGCAAGTGCTTAATAAGTATTAGCAACTACTACTATAATCAAGGGGCATGCACAGATGAAGATAAAGCACAAAGAGAAGAAAAACTGGCGACGGAAGATCATATGGAAAGAAACACTACAAAGCCCCGGTGGCTCCTATTTGAACTGTCTCGTATCGGAGTTGTGCTCTGTGTCCTTTTTCTCTTCCAAATGTCTCGTGAATAGACAGTAAGCCTCTAGAAGACTGAGGGGGCATGGCACACTCCTTCATAAGCGAACACCGTGCAAAGTGTCTGGCTTATTAATGTGGCTGCTTCCCCTCTATCCTCATCTATCTTTCCAAAAGTTGTAGTTTAAGTTCCTTCCTGAAATTTCTGTACCTAACAATGTGCCCAGCCAAAGTAGAAAGTCAATAAATATTTTTAAACGAATGAAAAATAACTGGTAAGAAATCAATATAAAATTACTAAAAGATGTAATAAGTAATTATTCCTTAAGGCTAGATTTCTCAACCCTGGCACTAGTAACATTCTGGACCAGATAATTCTCTGTTGTTGGCACGATAGTCTGTGGACTGTAGGGTGCGCAGCAGCAGCCCTGGCCTCTACCCACTAGATGCCGGTGGTACTCCATCCCACAGTCGTGACAATCAGAAAATGACATTACCAAATTTCCCTGGGAAGGAGGCATAGGTAAAATCATCCCAGGTGAAAGCCACTGCCTTCAGGGAAAACAATAAAAATAACTTTTTTGTTGTTGTCCTAGCGAGTTCAAAGATTCTAGGGCTTCCGGGAAGTTATTCTGGAGGTTTTGCTGAATAAAGTCCTTGAGATATATAAAAGATTTAATCCTTAGGAGGTGCTCCAGTTCCTTGAGGAAGGCTTAATTACCATATTCCAGAACTTGTCAAATGCAACGAGGAAGCCGGTACAGACGCCCCGAAGTCCCTTGAAAGTGCGGATGTGAACATTCACCTTCACCCCCTCCCGGATACAGCGATGGAGTTCACCCAGAGGGCTGCCTTCGTGCACTGAAACAAGAAGAACCGTCAGCACAGAATGAATACCTGCTCTCATTCCCAGAACTAACAGCCAAGACCACCCAAGCATCTCCAGCAACACAAGGCAACATGGTATGGCTCTGGCAACCACGCCACAGGAGCAGGAAGGTCCAGGGGCAGCATGTCAGGGGTAGGCAATGTGCACTGAAATGAGACAAGACCCCCGGAACATGCATAAACCCCCCGCGTGGCTACCAAATGTCTCACTATCTCCATGTCCTATTTCTATGATGTCTCTGATTCTAAGAGGCAGCATCATTTAAAAACTTTTGGGGGCAAAAAAACACTATACTAAATGTGCACATCAGCAGCTAGATTCTTCTCAGTTCTCTGCCTTGTATAACAACCTTTTTCAGGATAAATTTCATGAACTGCATACCCAGTTTGAGCCTTCCAAAGAACCAAGAACTTTGGTCATAGGTTTAAGGGAAATGAACCGTGTGACTCATCCGCCCTGAAACACATGCAATCGTCTAAGACAGAATGGCTTTTTGGCCCTCTCGGTCTAAGCTACATCACGCAGAAGCTCGTGCTCTTAGGCCACTAGTGTTTCAGTGAACATCATCTTCACATGAGGAGGAAGAGGCCTGGTTATGTTCCAGGCCTCACTGATGTAAAGGCACCTGCTGAGTAGCTGACTCCTATGAAATCTCTGATAAGCATCATACAAAAAGAGATGTAACAACTCATGTGAGGAATGCTGGGACTATAAACTGCAGCCTTTATTATGATGGATTCTTTTTTTTTTTCAGAGCTTTAAAGCAAGGCTGAGTTTTATTTTTATTATTTCATGTTAATTTAGCCATCACAGTATGGTGACTGTACTACATAAAACCTCCCTAAAGAAAACTGCACATGCATGCATACACACACACACACTCACATTTACACAATCTCACTCTTCCCCTCAAGTCTGAAAAGCACAGTTCTTTGGAAGTTATTGTCATTGATAGTAAACAAAGAAAAACATCTCTGTCTTATTTTTAGTATAAGCATAAAAGAGAACAAGTGTCTTGCACTTCAATTTGGATACCTAAGGTGGTTACTCTTAACCTCCTTACCCCTCATTCATGGACTGGCTTATAAATGATGGCAGGGATAAGTTAATAAAAGAAGATACTCCTGGATTAAGTGACTTTGTAGATGAGAAATAGGAGCTTGTCAGATTGAAGATTCAGCAAGAAGGCAGAGGTCAGAAACAGTGGCCTTGGAAAGGAACATGAGAACTTTGGCCTGACCTTCACTATCCATCCCTCCTCTAGCCATATTTTAAAATTCTCTGAACCTCTGACATACTAAAGTATGTATATATACACACATCTGGATATGTGTTATAGATGGTGTCAAATCAAGCACTGTAAACAACATTTAGGTCATTATAACTAGTTGTATGAACTTAGCAGCTTTTTCTCTACAAGTCCAAGTTTCCCCATTCATAAGATGAGATTAGACTAGGTAACTTCTAGTTTCATGTAATGAATAAGTTCCTATAATTAAATTTCTTAGAAACTGGTCACAATGCCTAGATTACTCTACTTGCCTTCCACATTCACTCCTCTTTCCCACTATACACATATGTTCCACAAAGGCTAGAAAGGCCACTCCTTTTCCAACTTGGAAGAAAACAGGGGCATTACTCCCCACACACCCCCAAATTAGGGAGAATGGACAAGCATGTACCTTAACAAAAACCTCTTGTTCTAATTAAACAAATGGTAAACTCAGGTTTTCAACCTTCATATCTGTACCTTTTTTGATTTTTTTTTTTCTTCCAAAGATTTAACAAGGTGTAACTCCAGGGAATATTCCTCTCATGTGATCAAAAATACAACACTGGCACCACCTATCAGAGCAAAATCCCAAGAGATAAAAAAAGTTCCACACTCAGAATCACAAGGCACATTCTGAATCTCTTCTCAGCAGTATTTGTGACAAACTCCAAATGGATATGAGCCAGGCTTCTAAAACTATATCTATGCCTTATCTTTGAAGAAGTTATTCTTCCAAATCCCGCTCTCCACTGCCATTACCCTTGAGCCACAGCCTTCCAAATCCAGGTCATTTTTAACCCCACTCTTTTATTTTTCCCTTCATACAGCCAATACTAAGTCCAGACAAGAGATTCTCAATAACTAAGACCTGACCTTTCTTTTCTATTTCCACAACCAACAATACAGTCCAGAGCCTCATCATACTATTGGTTCACTTCAAGAGTCTCCAAGCTCCTCTCCTTCACATCAACAATAGCAGCAGCATCACTGTCACCAATATTATCACCAATTACTGAGCCCTCAGTATGGGCCAGGCCCTATGGTAAGTTTAACTTTACATGCTATTTTATTTTTTTTGCCACACAGCATGTGGGATCTTAGTTTCCTGATCAGGGTTTGAACCTGCGTCCCCTGCATTGGAAGTGCAGCATCTTAACCACTAGATCACTGGGGAACTCCTTGATTTATACCTTGATTGTGGTGATGAATTCATAACCATTTTACTCACCTGAGGAGTGAATTTTGCTATATGTAATTTAGCATATATTACATGCTTATTTAGCATCTATTACATGCTCAACAGCCTTATTTTTAAATAATTACTGTTATCGTCAAGCATGCCCTTCCTTAACCGCAAGACCTAAAGCTGACTTCTATATGAATTCTTTTGTGGAAAAAATCTAATCCTCACCCCTGCTTCTATACTTTTTTTGCTTCCTGAATATCATCAATTTTTTATGATATCTACTCATCTCTACCATGTTTCCAGTGGTGGGGTTAAAATTTTTAGTGCCTAGAGCACATTTTGAGACTTTGATTTTAGGCATACATTTAATTGTGGAAAGTTGATAAAGCTGGCTTTCACACTCTTTCATCCTAATAATATGGCAAAGTGCTCCACCGGTAAAGCCAAAACCACTCACCACATAGAAATACTTCTTTTGTCTTGAAAATCTTGGCAGCAAAGCAATAATTGGCAAAATGGAAATAAATGTTACAATCTGAGACTCGGAAGGCATTTCAAATATCTGATAGTGGCAAAAACTATGGGCAAAATAAGCTCCCCCAAACTGCTCTTAATTTAGGCACATGCATAATCTGTGTCACTGCTGGGCAAGCAAACTGGAGTAAACCCTAGCTTAGGCAGTGATGCTCTGGCACTGTAATCACAAAGGCACCGCTAACAGCACTCAGCTTTTCAGGATGTTGCTCTCTTAACACACTTCTAGGAAAGAAACAAAATATTCCTTTATTTAGCAAAACCCTCCATTCCAAAGGCAGTGACTTAATAATGCCACAATTTAGCTATCAGGATACAGATGCTCTGAATGGCTAAGTAGGTCATTGTGTTCATGGGGCAGATGTCAGAACTGCTTGCCAGACGACGAAGATATGACCCTGGGCTATTTCTATTCCGTTTATACAAGACCTAATTCACACGTTAGCAATCTCTGCTATTTATAGCTTTACTCTAAGGAACTATTAGGAGGCTGCAAGAAATCCCCTCGTGCCATTTACACCTTCAGAACTCAAAATAACCTGTGCATATGGTAATAGGAGCCTGACAGACAAAAGTCCCTGCACTCAGCCGGCAGGGAGGCTGTAAAAGTGTCTGCCCTTTAGTGGTCTTCTGCGCCTGCTGCATTCCAGTGAACATATGTATGTCAAGACCCTGCAGCCCTTCCTGCTTACAGCACTGAGAACGAAGCTGTCACTTAATGTGCAGAGGTCATGAGATTATGTCTCCTGTGCTATCTGAACAATTTCCTCATACTGCGTCCCATCACCCACAAATCTCACTGACCAAACCACTCTCCCTCCCCTAATACTGGCTGTGCCCTTCCTCTTCTCACCATGAGTGGCCCCAAGACTTCATCACCTCTGCAAATCCTCCCCATGATGTCCCGTTTCCAGGCTCACCACCTCTCCAGAATCCCCCGGGCACCCCCCACCCCCCAGTCACTCCTGCAGACCGATTTCAGCAGGTTCCTCATCACCTCTATGGCCACTTCTGTGGCCCCCATCACCTTTATGCATGTTATCCAAGCAGACGCTACCCATGGCTACTTATTACCTCTAGAGCCTTGCCACTCTTCGCTCACTGCCCACACAGACCGTGAATTCCTCAAGCTGACCTCCCCACGGTCGCTGGTTATCTCTTCAGCCTTCACCAAGACCCTCCCCCTGATACACACACAGGTCCGCGCCGAGCGGCTGTCAGCCGGCACACGCCTGCAGGGCCGCCGCCTTCCGGACAGCCGGCCCGGCCCCCGCCCCGCCCGCGGGACTCACAGGGCATTCTCGTGAGCACGTTGCGCGGCGCCTTCCTGCTCCGACCCGGACCCCGCCGCCGCGTCCGTAACCCGGTCCTGAGGAAGCTCTCGTACTCGGCCACGTTGTTGAAGCAGGGCGCGTTGGGGTAGGGAATGGGAGGCAGGCGGGGCGCATACAGGGCCAGCAGCGGGTCGAAGCTGTCAGAGCTGACATCCAGCCGCGGGCTGGGCGGGCGCGCGGGGCTCCCAGCGCGAGCCGACCTCGCCCCCCGCTCCCGCTCCTCCATGTTTGAAAGGCCCGCAAGCCGAGGCCGATGGGAAGAAGGAGCGGGGCCGCCAGAGGGCGTCACTGCGCAGCCGCGGCGCAGGGTCTCACTGCGCTGGGGCGGCCGCCAGGGGGCAGCGTCTGCCTGCGCTCTGCGCCGCCAGGGGTGTGGTGCGCGGCAGCTCTTCGCCCGGGGCTCGGAGCGCATCAGCGTTCGGGGGAAGAGGTTCATTTGCGTTAACGCACGTTTTCCCATCAATATCATTATCACTTTAGGTGTTTGCTGATAGTCCAGGTGGGGATGGAGCCCGGGACCGTCAGCTTGACAAGCTCCCCAGGTGTTTCTCCGTTCTCTGGAATTATGGTCTACTAGTAGCTTGAGCTGGCGGGAAGCAGTGGCAAGAGGGCAAAGTGAAAGTGAAAGTCGCTGCGTCGCGTCCGACACTTTGCGACCCCACGGACTGAATTCTCCAGGCCAGAATACTGGAGTGGGTAGCCTTTCCCTTCTCCAGAGGATCTTCCCAACCCAGGGATCGAACCCAGGCCTCCCTCATTGTGGGCAGATTCCTTACCAGCTGAGCCACAAGGGAAACCCAAGAATGCTGGAGTGGGTAGCCTATCCCTTCTGCAGAGAATCTTCCCAACCCAGGAATCCAACGGGGGTCTCCTGCATTGTAGGTGGATTCTTTACCAACTGAGCTATCAGGGAAGCCCAGGAAGAGGGCAAGGAATGTCCCAATTTGTTCTTATGCTCTGTATCACTGGAGTTCAGACGCCTGGGCTCCAACTATTTAGCTTCTCTGAGCTTTACATTCTCTTTTGAGATATGATCAGTTCAGTTCATTCAGTCGTGTCTGCCTCTGCTAGAAATGGTTTCAAGAAACTGTCTGAAGAGCGAAAGATATGTATATGCATATGGGGTGTAATAAATGCTCTACGAATGTTAAGTGTACAATGAAAGTGAAGGATGATGAGTGGACCCTAGTACTGTATTTCTTACACCTAGGCAAAAAGAAATTTACACATACACCAGAAAGATGCTAGTATTAAAGAAAATTCCCCATCACTGTTCTTCTAAGTATTGCTAAGCACCTGGAGGAAAGGAGGATCCCACAACTGGGATGGCAAATTTATAAAACCTGGCTGTACTTTAGAGCCTCTGTTTAGCAGAACCTTGTTTCTTGATGTTAAAATAATAGTGTAGTCTACATCAAAAGCCCTCAACCAGTAGAACCAAGATGTCTCCAGTCACCTAGAGGTCACAAGAATCCCTTTCCTGTCACCACTCTCCCAAAGGGCAATCCACTGGCATAAACTCTATACTAGTGGCTTCCGTGTGTATTTTAAAGTTTCCTTAAGCTTTGGAAAGGAAGTCCAAGAAAATACTAGTCTCTTTTAAGAGAGGATGAAAATTAATATACAACTGTGAAGTATACTTTAGAATAAAAACATACTGCAAAATAAAGATGACAAACCAGCCAACAGTACTTGGGGGGTGGGTGGGAAGGGGGCAGGCCATGTAGCATGCAAGATCAAACACGTGTCCTCTGCCCTGGGAACCCAGAGTCTTAACCACTGGACAGCCAGGGAAGTCCCATCCAACACTGCTTCTGACAGCATTACTTAATAGGTATGATTACAGTGTAAATATTAAACCCAGGATATTCCTTTGCTCAAAACCACCCTCCCCAAGACAAACCTCATTCTTGCAAACTGCTGCAAACCAGCAAGCACATGTCCTCCTATCTTCTAACAATATCAAGTGATACCTTTGTAGTATCACATAACACCAACAGAAAACACAAAACTTTCTTGGGTGGCGTCTAAAAAATTTGTACAAACACCTACTTATCTATACTTGTTTTGATATAGGATGCTGTAATTTATTTACCGTTATGTTTGCCAATCAAGAACTACACTCTCACTGCCTCACTTGGCCTATCACAGTGTACCTCGATGTATGAGTCTAGGTTTTGGTATAGACTAGTTACCCAAAGTGTGGCATATTGACCACACCCATCAAAAGTCTTTGAATCCCAAACTTCATGGGGAGAGAGCTTGGAACTGGCATTTTAAATGAGCATTTCAAGTAAATTTTTGCATCCAGAAGTCTGTGAACCACCACTGTGATGAAGGGATGTGAGCCTGGCTTATGTAAGGACGTTCACACATTAAAGTTGGACTCATATACTGCATTTGTATGAAAAAAAAAAACTGAAAATTTAGGCCAAGGGAGTTGAAACCTTTATTTTTTTTTCTTCTCAAAGAAATTTTATCAATTACCAATTGTAAACCGTGTCTCCAATTCCCGTGGAGTGAGAACAGGGAGGGGAAAAAAGGCATCAACAGATGGGGTGTCAATTAGTGAGATGAGACCAGCCATCGCTCTTTCAAAAATACATTTTCTTGGCTGTAAATTCTACAGTGTGAGACCAGGCACTGTGATGTGGGCTTTTAATTAATTCTTTACAGAGCCAAATTAATCTTTTTCCTCTAAAATATGGAATGAACATAAAAGGAAATGTGAGTTCTCTACCCCCTGTCCCCACTGCCTCCTCACTTCGGAGGCCACGAGCAACACGCGCTTCCTGTGGCTCCTCACCCGGCTGCACATCAGCAGGTAGAACCATTAGGGCTCCTCTACTGCCTGTGACCCAAAGATGAGTGTTGGTCCCTCTGCTCTCCAAGTCAAATGTCGTTGTTTTACTGTACAGAGGCTACCTGAGAATCTTTTTCAGGACGTCCTACAGGAAGGTGACGTTCAAAACTGAAGTGCCAAGACGACAGAGAGTATCTTCCTCCTGGTTCATTCATTCTCACGTTTTCCTTCTCCCCTATAGACATGTAACTCTCTTTCTCCTGAGAAAGAGTAAGCAGCCTTGTGATCACTGCCCCTGGTGAGATGATGAGGATCATGCTGACAACTCCACAAAATCAGTCCACAAAATATTTATGCAAGGACACCCAAGCTACAACTCGTTAGTTCAGCCCAGGTTGCCAACTTGGATAATGGCACAAAGCCCTGAGTTTGCCCTGGAATTCCTGCATTCAGAGGCACTGGGAAGGCATCAACCTATACTAGCTCTAGGTCTGCCAAAGATGAATGCAATTCATCTTTAAAGGTGAGGTTACCGAGGTCACTGGATTCTGTGGTAAAGAACAAGCCGGCGACAGTGAAGTTTGGGCTCATCTTCTAGAAGAGGTGAAAAAAGCTTGACAGGTTTTTGTAAGACCCATGCCACAATCTAAAAATGATTCATCTACAAGGCATAACATAGTTCTTGCTTTATAAAAATAGTACCGCAATTTTTTTTTAAAATGCACTTCTACCAAAGGAACCATGTTTCAACACTGCAAAAAAGGTGTTCCACTTAAAGCAGAATAAGATATACCACCCACATCCAACCCTTTTCTCTCCGCTCCCCTCCCAACCAGAGTCATGTCACTCCCGGGACACCTGCATGGCACAGATGCTAGGGCCACCAAAAGTCAGGAGACTTGGGGGCCGAGATGGTTAAGCACGCCAGGACTGAAAAGCAAAGGGTCAGCTGTCTTCATCTAGGATCTCTGGATGTTCCTTCCAGAAAGCATCCCCAATGATATTGCAGTGTAAGGGCACCACCACAGTCCTGGTCCGGGTCACCGCCATCTTTTTTCCTTCCATTTCTGCTGGCAGCTTAACTTCTTTTGTTGTGATTTCCTCCACCTATAGGTAACGTTAAAATATTGACATTGTTCACTCGCCAGTAGCTTTGGGACATTGAAGACGGAGAAGTAAGCTATATATTTGCTTGGCCAAAACATCCATTTGGGTTTTTCGACAAACCCAAATAAACTTTTAGCCAATCCAATACCTCTGACAAATACATATTTTCAGGCAGAGACATATCTTACCATACCTGAATTTCTTTACAACTAAAAATACTTTTTAAACAGTTATGCTGCTCTATTTTGAGAGATCTTAGGAACACAGAAGGGACTCTATGTTCCTTGTGAGCAATAACCATAGAATTAAAGATATTTCTGCTTTCCCACCTTCGAGTCCAAAGAACAAATACTTTAAAAATACTAATAAAAGAGCTGAAGTTGCCAGTGAGATCCTGAGCTCTTAGGATACTTACTCCCGTAATACTTAAAAACATTCATTTCAGAAAAAAATACTTTAGACAGAAGGAAATAAATTTAGAGACATCATTATGCCCAGGAGCTGGATCAGAGAGAAAATATTGGTAGAATTAAGGATTTAGATGAAAGGAGACAGAATATTAAGTTAACTATGACTGTCTAGAGAATCTCTCGAACATTCTGTAAGGGAAAGAACCTTCACATACAACATCAGTTCCTCAAATTATAGTTCTCGGGATGGGTGAGCCATTTAATGGTCCAGTGTGGGATTTTTTAAAAATGTTCTTTGAATGCAAAAATTCTCTTATCAGCACTGTACCTGTTAAAGGGGTTTGATTTTATTTGGGGAGAGTTTATGACACAAAAAAATAAATTCTAAAATTCTGCAATTCTACTTATAGAAGGGGGGAGTCCAGATCACAAACTTGACTGATGAACTGACAAAGCCATTATCCATAATAATAATCTATAGCATCTCGTTTTGGCAAAGGTCTAATCTGTGCGAGTGACTGGAGTCACATCATCACACGGACAGCAGGAAAGACAAAGTGTGGGCTGGGCGCAGGCTTTCTTTCTGACCTTCGTTTTCCCTTAGACATAACAGCATTACCTTCTGCCATATCAACACAGTCCCCTTCCTATACATCAGTGGCTCATTATTGTAGTTGATGTTGAATTCAGAAAATAAAATCTCATTCTTGTCTGCTGCAAGAGTTCCCTGAAGAAATAAAAACAAATATAAAAAGCTTTGTAGGTCTCTTCTCTCCCCTAGCCCCACCTATCCATTCCACTCTCTTATCTAAACTTCTAGCAACAAATCAAGAAGTGGAAGCATTTCATCAAATATCATATAGGTATTAATGAATTTTAAGAGAAGTTCAAATCTTATTTAAATAC